TGGATGGTGACAATGTAGGTGAATGGTTGGTGGTGGTTGATGGTGATGGTGGTGAGATGTAAGGGTGATGGTGATGGTGTATGATGTTTGATGGGTGATTGGTGGGTGGGTGATGGATGTAAGGTGTGCATGGTAGATGATGGTGTGTGATGGTGTGTGGGTGTGCCAGTGATGGTGTATGGTGGTTGCATAGTGATGTGTGTGGTCAGGTGGATGGTATGGTGATGGTGGTGGTGTGGTGGTGGTGATGGTTTGATGATGGATTATGATGATGGTTAACGTATGGTGGTGGTGATGGTGGGTGTGTGATGATGTGATGGAGGTGACGATGTACGCGTGATGGTATGGTGGTGGTGATGGTGCATGGTGGTTGGGTGATGGATGTAACTAGGTGATCGGTGATGGTATTTGATGCCGTGATGGGTGAGTGGTAGTTGAGGTGATGGGTCGGTTGATGGTGATGTGATGGTCGGTGGTGGTGAGATACGGTGATGGTGGTGGTGATGATGGTGATGAGTGATGGTGGTGTGGTGGTGAGTGGTGATGATTGGTGTGATGATGGTTATGATGATGGGTACGATGGGTTGGTCGGTGCTTGTAGTGGTGACGTTGATGTATGGTGGTGGTGATCACGAGTGTCATGATGGCAGTCGGATGAGTGGCAAATACTGAAGTTTCTGACTTGCGTGTCCGGGTCTGTGCACACCTGGGGCAGAGCGGGCGGGCCCCACCTGTCAGCCAGCAGAGCACCAGGTGTTGGGGGGAAAGAGAGGTCAGAGGGCACCTGCCGGCATGCGCAGGGGTAGGGGTGCTGCTCTAGAGCGCGAGGCCAGCCGGGACCTTGCTCACCCCCTCGCTCCCCCTGCCCCCCCCCCAGGGCGCGGACCAGCTGGGTGTGCTGCATCCCGTACACGACCAGGAGGAAGGTGAAGGACGGCGCGTAGCCGCGCAGCAGGTACTGGGCTCGGAGAGGGGGTGGCGGGGACGGCAGGCAGGTGTCGCGGGGATGGTGCCCACCTGCCCCCAGAGCCTCCCCCGCCAGCCGCTGAGGCTCCGTCTCCTTGTCCCAGGACGCCAGGCGGAGCGCGGCGCGGACCATGCCTGCCTCCACGCGGAAGACCCTCCCCGCCCTGACACAGGCCCGAGGCGGACGACCAGCCGGCGTGAGCCCCGCACACGACCGCTGCCCGCTGGGGCGCGGCGACCCCGGCATCTCTTCGGAAGACACAATAAATGCGTTAGGGGACAGGCTCTGTCTCTCTGGGCTCCAACCTCCCCTCTGGCTCGGGGGCGTGAGGTGGGGGCAGGGGCGCCTGGGACACGGGGTGGGGTTGGGGGGGGCACACAGCCCCCCACGGCGCCCCGGAACACGCGACGGTCGGGAGGCGCCTGGGGCGGGCTGCAGTGGCCGCCAGTCACCGAGGGTGTGGCGGGCACAGGCTGGGCGTGGCAGGGATGGAAGTCACAGCACTGGCGTCGTGATCTGCATTTGGGGGAGCCCCGAGCCCTTGTCCAGAGGAGGGGGAGGGTCCCCCAGTGGGTGCGGGGTTGGGGACCCCGCTCGCCACATCCGGCTTTGCTCTTTTGGTCACAACTGGAGGCGGGAGCGAGGGGCCACCCCCAGGCGGGGTTGTGGTGCCCATGGCTCTGGCCGGGCCGGGTGAGGCCACGTCCTCCCCACCAAGCCGGCCGACTGTCCCCCGAGCCGGCGCTGGAGGGGGCTCCGTGTACTGTGAGAGCCGCAGGCATGGCCAGAGCCGCCTGGGGGGTCCCACCTGGGACAAATGCCAGGGCGCTGGAGCCCACAGCGGTCGGACGCTGCCCCCTGAGGGTCCAGGAGCGAGGGTGTCGCCCGGTGCCTTGGAGGTGGGCGCAGGGACCCGACTGCGAACCGACCAGGAGGCCACTCAGAGGAGGCAGAGACGGAGCAGGAAGAGGGGCCTAGATGCAGCTTTGCGGCACCTTGTTAAACCTGCGTAGCCAGGACCGACCGCCGCGGGCCGAGGGGCTGATAGTCTGCAATTTCATCCTGAAAACGTGCCCAGCCTCACTCCCGCAAACACGTTTCACCAGAACCCGGCCAGAGCTCTCTCACATGCTGACATGCACACATGCACACATGTATGCACATAGCAGGGGGCTCCGTCCCCTCTGCGCCACCCTGGGCGCAGGGGCTCCGAGGGGCAGGCGGAGAGAGAGCTGCAGCCGCCGCCTCCCAGAGGGGACGGGCCAGCCCAGGTGCGGCCAGGGGTGTGGAGCTGGGGCTGGGCCGGGTGTCTGGGGGCTAGGCCGGGATCTGGGGTCTGGGGTCTGGGCTGGGGGGCTGGGGTTTGGGGGTCTGGGGCCTGGGATCTGGATAAGGCCTGGAGTTTGGGATCTGTGGCAGGGCCAAGGGTCTCGGGTCTGGGGTCAGGGGCCGGGGGTTTGGGGGCCAGGCTGGGCCAGGACGCAGTGGAGCCGGAGCGCACGTCCCTGGGCAGTGGCCATCGCAGCAGGGTGGTCGGCAGGTGGACTGAGCCCCTTTTCTAGCAGGCCTGAGACAGGCCTGGGGACCATGGGCGCCAGGAGACACCCGCAGGTGGCAGGAGCAGCAGCCCACGCAGGTTAGTTCCGTGCCCCAAACACCACACAGGTGCCTTCGCGGTCAGGGCGGGGGGCTCGGGCGAGGGAGGCGGGAGCCTGCGGAGAGGCCAGCAGGGCCGAGGCGGCACCTCCTGCAGAGACTGGCAGGTGCACCCGGGCTCAGGGAGGGGGGTGGGGGCCTGGCTGGTGGGGTGTCCAGCCCCCCGCTCCGCTCCTCCCCTGACACCGGGGCCCCTGTCCTCGGGCCCCCCCAGTCCCGTGGGGCACTCACAGAGCCCCGTGGCGTGTGAGAGCGGCCAGTGGCCCCAGCCTGACGCCCTGCCCTCCGTGGTCCCTGTGGCCCCACCGATGCAGACGCCGGGAAGTGAGAGAGGAAGCAGGCTTGGCCTGGGGCCGGCCTTGCAGGACACCACTGCCACGGAGAGGCTCCCACGGGGCCGTGGCCACAGCCCGAGCAGCACCAGCCGCACCTGGGCCATGTCCCCCCTGGAGCCCCTAGACACCCCAGCTGCGCTGCTGGTCTATTCTTTCCTGTGACGCTGCACCCACGAGTGTCCTGTGCTGATGTGGACGTGCAGACTAGACTGTCTCGTGACGTGCAGAGCATCACACGCAGTTTCCGTGCACGGCAGCGCCTGCAGACAGGCCTGTGCGTGGAGATCGGCAGACACAGGTGGCTCTTACGAGACGGGGTCTCGGGGCACCTCGATGTTCCGCCCTGCAGGGGTGCCGTCACCCCACGAGCCCCCATCCAGGGTCCTCTGCAGTCCCGCCCGCCGTGCCGAACACAGTTCTGCGTGCTGCACACACGGCGAGGGAAGGGGACCCGGCTCGGGGCCCTGGTCCTGCAGATCGGACAGGAGACACTCGGTGCATCTGAACTCACCCGCACGGAGTCTCATAAAGATCGCAGCAATTTGGAAACTCCGAGGACCCCAGCTCCCAGGCCGCCCCTGCGAGGGGCCGAGGCTCCGCTCCCCCGTGTGGTTTTGCACACTGTGGCCCAGGGGGTCGGCTCCGGGTCCATCTGCGCAGCTGAGCATGGGGGCCGAGGACCGTGCCTGCAGGTGGCAGCAGGGCAGTGGGCGGGCGCATGACCAGGCCGCGTCCGTGGAGGGCGTCTGGGGGCGCCCAGGCAGAGTTGAAGAGGAGCCGCTGGGCGCTGGCCTTGGACTTGTGGCTCGTCCCTGGTGGGTGACGGCGTGGGCTGTGTGGGCCCGGCTCGGCCTGGCGGCTACACGCATTGACAACCAGCACCACCTCGTGGCGGGCCTGGGCCAAATCCCAGACTCCTCTGCTTTCTGTGCTGGAGTCGGGCCCACCCAGGCCTGGCACTGCCGCTGCTGCAGACAGTCATGGGCGGGCGGGCAACAGGCATGCCTGTGGCAGCACCGACACTTGGGGACACGCATGCATGCCCGGCCGGGTGCCCTGCCCACCGTGGAGGCCCCGCCTGGCCGCTGTGGGGAAATTCTGCACAGCGCACGCAGCCCTGGGGCTGGGCTGTGCAGGGCTCCCCGTGGTGCTGAGGGCCCTCGGGCACCAGGCTTTTTGCCCTTCAAGAGATAGCACAAAGGAAAAGAACAGGCGAGCGCCACGCAGTGGAAACATTTGCAACATGCCACGAAGGACTTTCACCCAGAATCTGTAAAAAAAAAAAAAGTCTTACAACTCAGGAACAAGAAGACAAACAATTCAGGCCGGGCGCGGTGGCTCACGCCTGTAATCCTAGCACTCTGGGAGGCTGAGGTGGGAGGATTGCTTGAGCTCAGGAGTTCCAGACCAGCCTGAGCAAGAGCAAGACCCCGTCTCTACTAAAAATAGAAATTAATTGGCCAACTAAAAATATATGGAGAGAAAAAATTATCCAGGCATGGTGGCGCATGCCTGTAGTCCCAGCTACTCGGGAGGCTGAGGCAGGAGGATCACTTGAGCCCAGGAGTTTGAGGTTGCTGTGAGCGAGGCTGACGCCACGGCACTCACTCTAGCCTGGACAACAAAGTGAGACTCTGTCTAAAAAAAAAAAAAAAAGACAAAGTTCAATTAAAGACTAGGCAAAATATTTGAATGGATATTTCACCAAAGGAGACACATGGCCGGCACACAGGGAAAAGGGGCCAAGTGTCACTGAGTCTCTAGGGAAATGCAAATTGAGACCATTGGGAGCTACACCTACAAACCCACTAGAATGAGAAAAACAGAAAAACCCCGCCCGTGCCGAGTGCTGGCGAGAATGTGGAGTGGGTGGGACGCTCCCAGCGGCTGGCAGGACGTGGAGCTGGAAAACCACTTTGGACACAGCCTGGCAGCTTCTTGCAAAGCTGCGCAGAGCTGGCGTCGGCTCCAGGAATGTCCCCATCCGGCCAACACGGGGCCGTCCGTGACTGCCAACCTGAAGCAGGCCGTGCCCACCAGCAGGTCACGGAAAAATCACGGCACGTCCGTGCGACAGAACGCGGCCCAGGTTGGAGAGGGGGGGGCGTGCACAGAGCCGGGCAGTGGGAGCACAGACCAGGTCATCCCGTTCATGCGAAATCCCGGGACACACAAGACGGTCCTCGGCGGACGGCAGCATCCGTGACCGCGGCGGTGACTTCACGTACAGCCACAAGTCACGTCCCGGCAGACCGCACGTCTTAAATATGGCCTGTCACTGTATGCAAGAAAAATCCAAATGAAGCTGAAAATGGACAAAAACCTACAATTGATGACATCCCATCGTAAGGACACGGGTTTAGGGCTGTGGGATGAAGAATTCTCTGACCGGGAACACGGGTCCCTGCAGGGAAACACAGGCTCACGGTTTTCTCCCGGTCTGGGTGTGAAGGTGAGAACAGGGACGGCCCCGGAGGTCTAACGAGCAGTGGCTAATCGTGTGGGAACCTTGTGCTACACGCGTGTTTCTTCTGAGAAGGGCAAGAACAATGGCAGAGTGGTCGCGATTTCCATTGGGAACACGCTGCCCACCGTTCACGGGACACCCACACCACCAGCTCAAGGGGTCCCCACAAAGGGTCCCCCGAGAGGGGTCCCTTCCACCCCCCCACCTCCGTTCCCTGCACCTCGGGTCCGAGACCTCGTGCCGTCCTGCCCGGGCTGCGCCCCGGTTTGCGCCCCAGGCAGGACACACACACGGCTGCGCCCCTTCCCGACGGGGACCTCTTGCGCCCAGGCACGGAGAGAGCCGCGCGGTCTGGTTTCGTGGCCGCAAGGTCCAGACGCTCAGAGCAAGCCTTCGTGGCACTGGCGTGGTGGTGGGGGTCGCGAGGGAGCCTGGCTGCCGCCGTGTCCTGTGTCCGTGGGGCGGTGGGGACGTGTGACCGCGCCCCTCTGCTGGCGCGCAGACGATAAACACACAGGAGGACATGCAGAAGCTGCCTCCCTGTCCAACCCGCCCCCTCGCCCAAGGGACCCTCCGTGTCCCCGGGTCCCCTGGGTGCTTCTGTGGACCCCTGACCCTCTCGGGCCGCGCTCCGCCGTCTGGACTGAGCTCCTTGGCTGGGACCCGGGTTCCTCCCGCAGTGGCCGTGCGCGCTGAGGGCACCACCCCAGGACCATGCCAGGTGGGGCCGAGCGCCGTCTTGTCTCCGTCGCGGGCCTGGCCTGGAGCCCACGGGGTCACCAGGCCCTTAGATGCGGGCGCTGCTGTCACTCCACTGTAGCCACGG